ATCAACTCGACCCAATCCAATCCTAAGTTCTGATACCCTATTCCTGTGAAAATCAATCACTAAAAAACTCCTCAGCACAGTATATGAATGAATACTAGCCCTAAATGCATCAGCGCGCCCAGTTCCAATTAAAGTTACTAGTTACTCAATCCTAATATGAGAGTTCAAACAGCACTCTTTCATTGGCGCCACTGGACACTCCATTCGGATTTCGGGCATCAAAACTCAACTCTCCATTAACAGAAACATATACTGGTAACCACTAGTGAACTATCCAACATAAATTTATAATCAATTGAGCACGCCTTGGTAAGAAAGAGCGATAAAAGGTGTCACCTTTAAGGAGATTGGATTGAGCAGCGCAGATGAAAGGTCGGGGGTGAATTCTGCGGTTTCTTAGGTTACTGAATGGCAGAATAGGAAGCGCGGCTCGCTCCGCCTTCTTCAGCTTTAACAGGGAGTGGGGTGCAAGAAACTGAGAAGTATGGAGATTCGGTAATGCTTGGAATCTGCAACCTGTGTGTAAAGAAGGCAAGGAAGCCATTACGGGTTCTGCAACCCGATTGATCAACTTTATAAAATTTTACCAGGCGCGCGGATTCCTGATACGGATTACATAGTTCTGCCTTGGTTCATATTGCACGTTTTATATTGTCACACGTGTGATCAGTGACGAACCCAGAGATTTGTGAGAGCGGGGCACACTAGACACCAAAGTTAGTCTATAATAAAAACTCCAAATATAATAAAAATGGTAAAATATATATATATATATTAAATTATACTCCCTCCGTCTCAGAAAATTCTTCCCACTTTGACTTGGCAAGGAGATTAAGAAAGTGGAATAAAGTGGAAATGTATGATTGTGGTTGTGTAAGAAAAAGGTGAAATGAATGTGAACCACACAAATTGTCCAAAAATGGTAAGTGAGAAGAATTTTTTGGGACGAGCCAAAAAGGAAAGTGAGAAGAATTTTATGGGACGGAGGGAGTACAAAATAGTTAAATTACATATTAAACAGTTCACTGCTGCAACTTTGGTAAATCGAGCCTACGAGTTTTCATATTCTGAAAATGTTGCAAAATAGTTTCATTATCGATACTTCTAAACACATCTCTCTCAATGTAGCACACCAAGCAATCCGTAAGATAGTCATCTCACATCTTATTGCGAAGATTTGTCTTGCTAATATTCATCGTAGGGGTGGACTCGGGCCGGTTCAGGCCCGGCCGGGCCTCGGGCCAGAAAACTAGGGCCCGAGCCCGAACCGCTGGTAGCCGGTTCCGGTTCCGGGCCAAACCGGGCCGGGCCGGGCCGGGCCAAACCGGTCCATTTTTTTATTTTTATTTTGGTTCTCCTATTTAACCCCCTACCCCTCCCCCTCAACCCCAAACCACCTCAAATGGCCCAAAATACCTAATCCAACCCAAAACTTAAAAAAATTTCAAAAAAAAAAAAAAAATTAAAATCCGGCGCGAACCAGGCCGGTTCACCTAAAGCAGGGCCCGAGCCCGGACCGCCCATCACCTGGGCCGGGCCAAACCGAACCGATGGACCCACCAGGCCCCGGGCCAGGCCGGGCCAAACAGTAACCGGGCCGGGCCAGGCCGCCCAACCCGAGTCCACCCGTAATTCATCGCAGAGAAGGCTCTTTCAACGGTGGCCGTTGCAACTGGTATTACAGTAACACTAAAGGCAACTCAATCAAACGATATCACAAGTGAAAAGAATTGTGAACTTTAAGCTCGACCATCTTCTAACAAACTTCACCAATAGTTTTTGTACGGCAGAAAATAACTCATTTGTTCTCATTTCATATATCCACATCTGGAGTTGCTCTTTCAGCCCCATTCGATCAATAAATGAAAAATCACATGAATATAACTCCGCAAGGTTCAGTAGCTTTGACTCACAGAAATGGGAGAACTTCGGCTTTTATCATTCTAATCTTCCAAATGTTAGTGGGTTTTTAGACTTTTAATACTCCGTACTTTTAGTTGCCAGCACATTGGCTACTTTTTTGCATTTTAACTTTTTTTTGTTACTTTTTGTTTTCAATTTTTAGTTATTTTTTTAATTTTTTGATAATTCTATATATTTTATTTTAATTCAGCTAAAATTTAAATATTTTGTATTAATTTTTTATTTATATAACTATAACATTTTAGTATCTTAATTATCAAATACTGGTATGAAGTTGGGGCACCCGTTTTTATCCTAAGTACTACTACTGAAATTCCAGGCTCAAAGCGGGGGCACGTGCCCCACCTAGCCCCCTTAGGTCCTCCACTGCGTGTGATATTCGTTGGATGGATAGATAAGCATTTCATATCGGAGAAGTATATGACATTTTGTTAGCGGTTAGTTACTTTTCTTGTTTGGTGTAACTTTTATTTTCTAGCTTACCATTAATCAACTTTTTTTAGACATATTTTGATTTGGTAGAATGAATTATGTAATAAAATAAGATTAAAATTACTTTTTTTGGATAAATATATTAGAGCTATTGTCGGAAGACCATTTTCGTTATGTTTGTACGATAGTATAATTTTTTTCATTATTTTATTAACAAAATACGGAGTATATATTTTAAATATATACTTATCCATAACGCAGCAAATTCAACTGATAAAATCAAATGTGATACTACCGGTTTACGACCTAAATGTGATAAATTCTAAATTCTCCACTTTTATTATGCTTTAGTTTGTTATTGCTACCTTTCTTGATTTTATACATATATTAACTTGTTATAAATGTCAAGCGTAATACTTTGGATTAATTTAAATTGTTTATCGTGACGTTCATAGTGAAGCAATCTATCTAAAATTACATCAATCAGTTTTCTTTAATACTCCGTATTACTGATTTGAGATCGCGTTGCCCTCCACAAATCTTCAACTATTGATTACTTTAATTTACAAGAGTAACCCTTACAACATCATGAGCTTCTCACAGGTAGCTCCATTGAGTGAGGCAGTGAGATATAGGTCCCAAATTCGGACACAAGCGTGTGAATTTCATCTAATGTGTTAACTTTTTGTACACATAAACATAAGATTCTAAATCAGTTTACTCATAAACGGTTTGAGATTTACTCCTCCACCATTGTGTCGAATGTGATGTAGGTGTGGGACGATTCCATCATGAGTTTTCTCAGCCTAGTCAAACCATATTTACAATTATGTGTGAGCTTTGGTAATTTTATTTACAATTTTGCACATTTGATTTTATTTACTATTTATCATATTTAGTGATGGCAGAGGTCCGTGAATTATGGAATATTGTTTGTGGCTGTTCGATTTGTATGGTGAATTTTGATTTAAAACCAAATTTGTAGAACACCTTAGAAAAAGAGGAGGTAAATCCGTCTTAGTAGGTTGATCAAAATCGCTCACCTCAAACACCTCTCATACTAGCATGTTGAGGTTTGCCTTTTTGCTACAAGTGGTTCTCTATTTTGCTATTCACTTGTTCAGGTTTTGACTTGTTTCTTATGCATCAAATGTGAATTTCATTATCAGAATATACTAGAATTTATTAACAAGTTTTAATATTTTTAAGTAATTAATTGATAACACCAAAAATTTCTATAATTAAGAAAATAAAACCAAACCTTAACGGCCCATTAAAACCCCCATAACGAACAAAAATGGTAAGTGTGACAACATGAATTTTAATATTCCTAATATAAATAACAACTACTACTAAAAATAAAAATGCCGAGTGATAATAGTAATAACAATAGTAATAGTAATAATATACCTGTAATAAATAACATGAAGTTTTGTGGGATGATTCTATTCCCAACCTCTTATTTACATCAAACACATTTTTCATAATTCCTCTAGTGCCCTTATTACTAAATAGAGTTATGTCTTAAAATTATTACTTCATATTCGTAGTTATGTCTTAACTTTCCAGAATGAGGAAGAAAGCCGAAGATGTATTCTTCTAGCGTGAGATGACGGAACCTTAAGGGTTCAAAGTGTGGTAATGGCTGCCAATGACTTTCATGTGTCCACAAAACCACTCACCATTACTAAACAACATGGATTTCACACATGTGGTTTTCCTGAATATGGAGTTTGGAAACATCAATGCAGGATGCGATAAACCCTATAATTTTATATCATTGAATTGATTTTTTCATGCTTTTTTAGGTGGCAACCAAGACTTGGATTTGCACATGGCTTCTACTAGCTTAGTTCTGGAATGTTACTTGATCTTCTTTTTTCGCCTCAAATTTTTGCTACGCTCACACTTCTTGCGGCAGTTGATAGCATGACCATTGTTGCAGTTTGCGACTTTGTGGCAACAGTGTTCGCGGAAAGTTGTAGTCACTAACCGGTGATTGTCTTTGCTAATAATAAGGGTAATCCGGATATTTGTGTTTACTGAATTTATTATTATTTAATTTTGTGGTTGTGGTTAGTAAAATAGAGATTGTGAATAGAATCATCCTATTGAAACACAAAAAATGCAAGGTTCATTAGTCTTGGAGCAAGAATAACGACTCAGGAGGATGTTATAAGAACCGGACCGGGCGGGTAGACCCGAAGCCCAATCCAGTCCAATAGACCATCAACCCTCTACCCGCTAACCTCCTTGAGTTACCAGAGCTACAAGAGTCATAATATATGAAGTCAAAAGTATTTCACTGCTCTATATTCTCAAATTTTCAAGGGGGTGGCCTGACCACCTTGAGCCTCCTTAGCTCCGCCCCTACAGTACATAGCTATTGCACAAAATGTTACATAACTTGCTAAGCTCAACGTTTGCTTTAGAAAAACTATAAAAATGCATATGCGTGAAAATGCAAAGTCCATCGCATAGAAGTGCAAGGGCCCTGATATAATGCATTTATTTAGTTACCTTTTGCCATAACAGTGCCTCAAGTTGAACCTGCTAAGCAATTCCTTATATGCATACATTAGTTTCCTGCTTCTGTTAACAATGACTGGCTGGGATCAAAGATCAAAGTCATCAAACCTGCTATATATTACAACTGCTGTTTTCTTATAGCACTAACCAAGGAAAGTCAAATTGGCAATTTTTTCTGGAACGGAGGGAGTACTATATAGTACATAATACATATAAATGCATGTGTGTGTGTATAGACACACACACACACCAATATAAATACATACCTATAGTATTCATACATCTATTTTTGAACAAAAATAAAGAAAGCTACAACAACATTTAACACTTTAAGCCAACTCCCAGACAGCTGAAGTTAATAATCTCAGGGCGTTTCAGGGAGTTAGTTAACCATTAACAGACAAAAAAATTAGTTAGTTTCATTCATCAGTGACTGGAAGGAAGCTAGCAGCAGCCGAGGATGAAGCACTAAGGTTAGTAGTTACTGGCGGCCTGGACGGTTGTACTTCTTTAACTCCTCTGATCAACTGCACCATTCAATAACAAAAACTGTATATGGTGAGCTTTAACTTAGCTAGATGTGGTAAGAAACTTTCTGAGTAAATAAAATCTATGGGTGGATTATATATTTATATATAATTATTAGACGTTTATTAATGACATCAATTAGGTCTTACATATTTTCCAGATATGGTGTCAGCATATATGAAAACAAAATCCCCTTCTTGAAGTTCGTTTGTACGCACGAACTCGCCTAATAAATACGGAGTAGCTTGCAAGTGTAAGAAGTTATGAAAATTTATTTAATTAAGTTATTAAAAATTAGCACTCACTTACCAGTGTTTTCAAGGACATACATCTTGCTTCTGTCATTTTGCCAAAATCTGCAAAAGAAAAAATGTATAATAATTGCAAGAACGTGTACATCCAGAACATAAAGTTGCATAATGCATAGTAGCTTATACTTTATACTACTTTCTATAGAAAGTTGCATAAAGTTGCATAATGCATGAAGTATTGCATACGCAGCATACCTGAATTTGAAGTCCCACACACAGGATATGCACATGTCCTCCATGGGGATGGAAATTCCAAGTCTTGAATCAAGTCGGGGGACGGGGGAGACGAAACTCAGCTTCTTTCTGTGACATGGAACACCAACATATATACAATTATCAAGTGGTTTATGATAGTCATATAAACCTTTTATACTCTACAATGATGCATGGAATTTGGGGTGAAAATGAGCTCCATCGAATCATTTGTGAGTCATTCTGGTTAAAGCTAAACTGAGACTGAATCAAATTCAAGCTACAAATAAGCTGAACTAGAACCAAAACTATTAAGCTCATTCGAGCTTCAACTCGAGCTAGAAACATAATTTTCAAACTTGAACTTGATCAGCTTAGCCAGTTTGAAGCTCAATCTGGCTTGTTTGGGTGTAATAGAAACTTCCTATGATTCTATGAAAATTACTATGTTTTAAACATTGGGAAAATGGAAACTAATAATCCAACCTTTAAGCGGTCTTCTTACAACAATCCAACCTTTGGGTTATTCATGAATAATCCAACCTTTGCACCTCATCTTCATTCATTGGTCCATGACCGGTTGATGACCTGCTATTCGAAGCTATTTTTTTATCTTTGCAAATCATTATACCATAAATCTCATCTTTCACAAAGATAATATTTTGCAAAGATAAGAAAATAACTTGGAATAGTAAGTCATTAACCGATTAGGGACCAGTGAATGAAGATGAGATGCAAAGATTGGATTATTCATGAATAATTAAAAGGTGGGATTATTGAAAGAAGACCGCTAAAAGGTTGGATTATTAGTTTCCATTTTCCCTTAAACATTTTAACTGGCGAGATTTATAAATGAAATAATGAAAGATCGATAGATACGGAGTACAAGATTACTAGTAATACCTTAGGTAGCACAATTCTTCCGTGGTGAACATCGCTCCGCTTCAAAACTTTTTGCAGCACAAGTTCAACACCAATGCACACTGTTACTGAACCCTAAATTCAAGATTCCAAAATTTACTACGCAAAGATGTGGTTGAACTAAAAAATCAAAACATCAAACACTTTATGATCAGAAAATAATCACACATAATATTTAATTATTCACCTGCGGTTGCTCTTCTGGTGAAGATTGAGCGGTAGACTGTTGAGGCCAGCCCAGAGCGGAAGACATATCTGCAGAAGAATTCTGCAGATTTCTTCTTTGTCGAGCCATTGTCCTATTCTTCCGTGCCTCGAGAGCCTCATGCTTGGGAGTCAGAGTTATAAAAGGCCGCTTATTAATTCGGGGGTTGAGCGGACGCGGCGGCGCCAGAGATTGCGGCCACTGCTGTGATTCCACCGCCATGTTCATTGGGGATGGATAGTTTCCCGCGCGCGGTAGGAGATACACGCTTGATTGACCGGGGTTGTAGTAAATCGTAGAATGAGGAAGAGGACCGCACGACAGTTGCACGCCGGATTCATAACTTGAATAGACGCCGCCGCCGCCTCGCGGCAGCGATTGCTGGAAAATGTGACGCTGTGGGGCGACGGAATCTGGGGCCCATGTAGGCGTTGGACCGTAACTGAAACGAGTGGTGGGGCCGGCTTCTCGAAGAGACGAAATTAGGGGCAATATATTGTCATTTGCTTCCGCATGGGACCCAGAGGAAACCGTTTCGGCAGTTTTTGTTTTCTTCTCCCGAAGTAGGGAGTGGTCGATCCTCTCCAGTATCAGCTTCAGAAGCTTCTTCTTCCCTTCAATGGCGGTTCCAAAACCTTTCAAGCCATTCTCGACGGCGGACTTTTTGAGGCCGATTCTCTTCAGATCTTCCTCACTTATCTGATTTTTGTGCTTCTTCAACCAGTCCGTCAAAATCGCCGTGAGCTCGCCGTTACCTGATACAACCCAGGAGCAAGAATCTGGTCATACACGGCCAAAAAGGATACACCACCCAAGCACCAATCAGGATTTCATTTATTACTAAGCTTATTAGCTTATTATTATTATTACTATTTTTATTAGAATTAATGTAACTACAACTAAGTGGTTCACCCATTATCTCTAGGTAGTTTATTTGCACTTCCTGCATTACCTAGTAGTTCTCTCCTCATTTTTAGGGTGATAGTAGCCCATGTTCCCACTATTATGATAGGCATGTAAGTTCTATTTAATGGATGAAAAATGGAATGAAAAGGAAATCCGTAAGTTCACCAAAATTCTCCCGTTTTCTCTGTCATTGTTCTTCCTGTTCTTATTCTTCTTGCTGGAGGCTTCCACCCTCACATAGTGGAAAAATTGACTCTTATTACTGCTGTAACAATTGGTGCTTTCATTGAGAGAAGCTATGACCAACGAAGGGACTCAAACTCGATATCGTGCCTTAGAAGAACAGGTGCAGCAGATTCGAGAGTCTCAAATCAAAAGCACCGAAGAATTCCGCCAAGCACTGGCCCTTCAAAACCAGACCTTAGTGGATACACTGAACCGGACTGTGGCAGAATTGTCAGACCGCATCACCCAGCTTCATGTCAACTCCACAGCATCCTCTTCCTCAACAACGAACCACCATCAACACACAACCAACCATATATGTCAACAGTCCCACCCGCGACCTAATCGTTGTGACATGTCTACGTTTGACGGCAGCAACCCCTTAGACTGGATTTTTCAAGCAGAAAAATATTTCAGTTTCTGGAATATTCATGAGGAGCAACGGCTGGATACCGCTAGTTTCTACATGACCGGTCAGGCCCTCTCTTGGTTTCAATGGATGCACAAGAACCAACAGCTTTCTTCATGGAGGGCATTTACGGTGGCCCTTGAACAACGATTCGGCCCGTCAACCTACGTTAACCATCGTGCTGCACTTTTCAAATTAACACAAAAGAGCTCTGTGGCAGCTTACCAGACGGAGTTTGAAACCCTTGGCAACCGTGTCACTGATCTATCAACAGATGCCTTACTGGATTGCTTTATATCGGGATTAAAGCCCTCTATTCAAGGAGAGTTAGCCGTACATAAACCCAATTCCCTCTGTGACGCCATAGCCTTAGCCAAATTGATAGAAGACAAACAGGGAGCGATTAAATCCATCACGCCACATAATTTCTCTTGGAAATCCCCTAACACCGGAAATGCCACAATATCCTCTCACCCAACAAAATCAACCCTAAATCCACCTCCCAGTACCAATTACTCACCCCCCCTATTACCACTGCCTCCTGCTACCGATCCAAATCCCAAGCCAAGAACTCCCTTTCCCATTAGACGCATGACAGAAAAGGAGATGCAAGCCCGACGAGCACAAGGATTGTGCTACAACTGCGATGAGAGGTACCGCCCAGGACACCGCTGCCACACAAAACCCTTCCTATTGATGATATCTGATGAGCCGGCTGATGTTATGGATCACGAGCATGTAGTCGAAGACAATGCAATAGCAGAAGAAACTAAGGACACCCCGATTGAGGAAACAACACCAGAGATTTCCTTTCATGCGCTGGAAGGAACTGTAGGTCCACGGACCTTCCGGTTGACTGCCAGCTCTAAGGGGCATGATTTCACAGTGCTGATAGATACTGGCAGTTCACACAACTATATTCAACCCCGGTTGGCCAAACATCTACACCTAGAGATAGATACAACCACACGTTTCCATGTTGCGGTCGGAAATGGTGAACGAATCCAGAGTGAAGGAATCTGCACTGCTGTTTCCTTTGTCATACAACATGCCGAGTTTAAAATCGATTTTCATGTCCTGAAATTTTCCGAGGCAGATGCAATTCTTGGCGTCCACTGGTTAGAGGGTCTCGGGAAAGTTGTGACAGATCACAAGGAGCTAACAATGCAGTTTATGCATGAGGGAAAACAGATTACCTTGGTTGGAACCCGGACGCCAAACCTTACCCCCTCCTCTTGCCACCAACTACTACGCCTCTGCCGAACAAAAGCCATAGCCAAAAGCTTCCTATTACTACCTGTTTCACCACCAACCACCCTACTTCCCCCTGATATGATGACTAACCCAGCCATAGCTGCCCTCTTGGACAAATTTACAGATGTTTTCTCCTCCCCAAAAGGACTACCGCCCAACCGGACTTTCAACCACCGAATCCCTCTAATACCCGAGTCTACCCCAGTGAATGTTAAACCATACCGCTACCCACACTTTCAGAAAAATGAAATCGAGAGGATGGTAAAGGAAATGCTGCAAGACAATATCATTCGAGAGTCTACCAGCCCCTTCTCTTCGCCAGTGATTTTGGTAAAGAAGAAGGATGGGACTTGGCGTTTTTGTGTTGACTACCGGGCTCTAAATTCTATAACCATTAAAGATCGGTTCCCTATGCCAGCAGTGGACGAGCTACTAGATGAACTACAAGGTGCCCATATATTTTCCAAACTGGATTTGCGAAGCGGCTATTTCCAAATCCGGGTACATCCCCCTGACATACCCAAGACAGCTTTCCGAACACATGAGGGTCATTACGAATTCTTGGTTATGCCGTTTGGCCTCTCTAATGCACCAGCAACTTTCCAAGCCACCATGAATTCGATCTTCAAACCATTCTTACGGAGATTTGTTCTTGTTTTCATTGATGATATCCTCATTTATAGTCGTTCGATGGCAGATCACCTCCACCACTTACAGGTGGTGTTGGAAACCTTACAAAGACAGAAGCTTTTTGCCAAGAGATCAAAGTGTTGTTTTGGACAACACAAGTTAGAGTACTTGGGACACATCATATCGGCAGATGGTGTTCATGTTGATCCCACGAAAGTTGCAGCAGTGACAAGCTGGCCTCAACCAAAGAACGTGACATCACTTCGAGGTTTCCTTGGTCTCACGGGGTATTATAGGCGTTTTGTCAAGGGGTATGCCTCCATCGCAGCACCACTGACAGAATTATTGAAAAAGGGCAGTTTCATTTGGGGACCGGTAGCGGAGGAAGCTTTTCGAAGACTAAAACAAGCCATGACCGAGGCCCCTATTCTTCGCCTCCCTAATTTTGAGCTGCCATTTTTTGTGGAGACCGATGCATCTGGGAAAGCAGTAGGCGCAATTCTGTCCCAGGAGAAACACCACATCGCCTATTTCAGTAAGAAACTACCCCCTCGATACCAATCTGCGTCAGCATATAGTCGGGAAATGTATGCAGTCACATCGGCTGTCCGTCGTTGGCGCCCATACCTGCTGGGGCGACCATTCACAATCGTCACTGACCATCAAAGTCTAAAGCAGTTGTGCTCTCAGACCATCCAGACCCCGGAGCAACAACGATGGTTGACAAAGCTTCTGGGCTTTGAATTCACCATTGAGCATAAGGCAGGGACAACAAATGGTGGCCCGGATGCACTATCTAGATGGACCGAAGAGGCCGATTCTACACTCATGGCGATTACAGCAACCACTACCAGCTTATTGGCGGAGATTAGGACTGCTGTAACCCAAGACCCAGAGGCGCAACACATTATGAAATCCCTCAAAGATGAAGGTAGCACCAAGAACCACAAGTTTATTCTTAAGGATGGTTTGCTGTATTTCAACAATAAAGTATTTGTTCCATCCAATCAAGGAGTGCGGCAACGATTATTGCAGATGTTTCATGGATCATTGTTGGGAGGTCACTCGGGTGAACAAAAAACACACACCCGGCTTGCTGCCACTTTCTACTGGCCTAACATGCGGGCAGATGTTCAACGTCACGTACGTGAGTGCAATATTTGTCACCAAATCAAGCCAGAGAATTGCCAACCAAAGGGATTATTGCAACCCCTTCCCATTCCCGTGCAGGTGTGGGATGATATTGCTATGGACTTCATCACTTCACTACCTTCATCAAATGGAAAGACGGGAATATGGGTCATAGTTGATAGGTTGTCAAAATATGGACATTTTATTGCACTGACTGATGGCATCACAGCACCAAAACTCGCTGAATTCTTCATTCAGGAGTATGTCCGGCACCATGGGTTTCCCCGTTCTATTGTCTCAGATCGTGACCCTCTTTTCATGAGCACATTTTGGAAGGAGTTATTTCGATTACAGGGCACCAACCTCCGACCTAGTACGTCATACCACCCGCAAACGGATGGACAAAGTGAAGTGCTTAACCGATGCTTAGAGATGTATTTGAGAGCATTCACGAGCGACCATCCCAATAGATGGGCTCGGATTCTTCCATGGGCAGAATATTGGTATAACACTAGCGTGCACGGCGCCACTAAGTTTTCACCATTCCAGGTGGTGTATGGGAGACACCCGCCACCGTTGGTCAACTACACAAGCGGTAGCACACCGGTTGACTCCATTGATAGTGCTTTGGTGGACCGCGAGAAGGTTTTGGCAGCATTGAAATCAAATTTACAACGAGCTCAGGAAAGGATGCGGGTCCAGGCAAATAGGCACCGTCGAGACAAGGAGTTTAACATTGATGATTGGGTTTATGTGAAACTTCAACCGTACAGGCAAAGCTCAGTAGCTCAACGACAAAGCAACAAACTGGCTAAGCGCTACTATGGCCCTTATCGAATTATTGCTCGTGTAGGAAAGGTGGCTTACAAATTGGCCCTACCAGACACATCACGCATTCACTCCGTCTTTCACATCTCTGTGCTCAAATTCTGCCCAAACCCCTCAGGTACAGATCCAAGTCCTCCCCCTGATACAGCCTTACACTTGCAGACACCACTCCGCATTCTCAAGCAGCGCATAGTTAAAGAAAATAGGAAGAGAGTTCGTCAAGTGCTAGTGCATTGGGATCACGCTACACCAGCTGAAGCCACATGGGAATACTGGGAACCATTTCATGCTACTTTTCCACACATACGCCTTGAGGACAAGGCGGTTTCCGATGGGGACGGCAATGATACAACCCAGGAGCAAGAATCTGGTCATACACGGCCAAAAAGGATACACCACCCAAGCACCAATCAGGATTTCATTTATTACTAAGCT